AGAGGAAAGCACGCCAGATAGGAAGACGGGTTCTCAATCCAGTCTGTGGATTTACCTGGGACTTGTAGTTTGGCTTTCAGGCTTTAAACTATCTTCGGTTTGAGAGTCGGGTTTCACCAGGAATCCACCCCTATCTGCCTAGGCATGTGACTGCCTCCTGCTATTCTCCCCTCTCAAGAGGTACATCTAATTGCCCTTAGGATAAAGACCATGATCACTCTTAACTGCTTCCTGCTGACAGGGGGCGCTGTTCTTGGAAAACGGCAGTCAGAGCTCGCTCAGAGGGCTATCTAAGGGTCCCTGGTAAAAGGGGCAATCGTCTGAGACTGCGGTTGGAGTTTGATGACCTCTAGGTGAGAAGAGACAAACCAGGTTATTAGAAGACATGAAAAAACACAAAACATGGGGGTAAGGACAGCACAAAAATCCTGAGGCTGCCAACACACCCAGGTAACTTGTGGCTAGAGTTATGTCTGCTAAAATTTGGGTGCAAGGAGCTTGGCTTTGGTTAGCTTCCCTGGCCTTATTTTCCCAAAGAAACCTCCAGGTTATGGGCACCTCATTTACCCCTATCACCTGGCAGGATTTGCAGGATAGTTGCCCAGAACTAGAATATTGATCCAGATTTCTATATTACCCATCCCTTGTTTCTTCTGAGTTGCAGCCAGAGATCACTAGTTGGTTCACAGGAATAAACAGGGTTAGTCTAAAATACAGACAAAAACTTAAAAACAACTAATAAGACCAGAATTTAACGACAAGTGCGGTAAGTTTTGAAATAATTTTTCTCTCTCTAGCCCTCATTTTTGTTAAAAACAAAGAATAATAGGATTGTTTGCAAAATAAACTTTAGTCTTATACTTGCCCTGATTATTTGCATAAAGTACAGCAAGAATAATTATTTTTCACATATGCTTTTAAAATTGGCTCTAATGGAATTCTGTTCCATAAGGAATATCAGAAAAGACTTTTTAAAGTCAAGCCCAGCAATGGGTTTGTACCCTCAAATACCTATGAGTTGGGTAAATTCCTCTCCTCTTGAGGTCCCAAGATAACTTGGGGCTCCTGGACCTGTTAGAAAGTGACATTCTTTACTCATCATGAGGAAAGAGAGAGACACTCTCATATTGTTTTATATTGTTTTATACTCAGTACCTATTTTAAGAAAAAAAACAAGGAAGTAAAACCAAAGACAGGCAGCCCAGTGCCAGGCCCGAAACCAGGCCTGGGCCTGCCTGGGTTAAACCCAGTAGTTAAAAATCAACTCATAACTTAGAAACTGATATTATTCATAGATTCCAGACATTGTATAGAAGCACACTGTGAAACTCCCTGCCCTGTTCTGTTTCTCTCTACCAGTGCATGAAACCCCCGTCACGTATCCCCTAGATTGCTCAATCAATCACAACCCTTTCATATGAAATCTTTAGTGTTGTGAGCCCTTAAAAGGGACAAAGACTGTGCACTCGGGGAACTTGGATTTTAAGGTAGTAGCTTGCAAATGCTCCCAGCTGAATAAAGCCCTTCCTTCTAGAACTTGGTGTCTGAGAGGTTTTGTCTGTGGCTCGTCCTGCTGCAATCACAGGTTAGGAGCCCTGTACAAGGACTGTAGACAAGGTATGAGGCCAGTTTCTCCAAGAAATATTTTTTTGGCTCTGCAAGTCAAGCTTGATTCCTTAAAGGGAAGCATACCCTTCTATCAGAAACTGATAAAACAACCAGTTTCTCCAATTGTGTCCTGTTGCAAAAGAAAGTGGATTCTTGTTGCACTTACACAAGTAACTACATTGCCATAAGAATACTCACAAATAGTTTCCAAATTCTAGAGAAACCAGCAGAGGAACAAATACGCTCCAAATTTTTTTCACAGGAGTATACTTTACTCAATTGTTAAATGCTGTAAATAGTTCAAAATAAAAGTTTTCTTGACTCTGAAAAACAAAAGATCGGTAATGTTTTAAGCAAAAAATTAAACAGATTACCTGTTTTCTATTAGTTCAGCCCAGTTAACTCTTGTTCTGCCTGATAAATTCATGAATATTTCAGCTCTTCATGAGTCCTGAATATTTTTCCTTTATTCTAATATCACAATCTAAAGATATTGGAAATCTGCATTTAAGAGCACCTAAGTTCTATAGCTGATTACAAACCATCTTTTGAAGAGGATCAAAACAAGACTACGATTGTCTGTGAACGACAAGATGTCTTTAGACAGTCTCAGTCAAAAACACGATTGACAAATTGCATTATTTCTGTGGTTTACAATAACTTAACAAAATAATCCTAATTCAAATTGATATCATATACTCAGATGTTAGAATTTTAGAAATCTCATACAATTTTGGAACACATATTAATGTTATTCACTAAAATGTAACCTGAAGAAGATTAAACATTATTTTTATTTTGGCAATCCCATGTAATTAAACATGTCAAATAATCCAGGGGCCCTCTGTTGGCATCCAAAAGTTAGGGGTCAAAAAAGACAACTTTGAAGCTAAAGTTTGATTTGGGGAAGCCTACTGAACATGTTAAAGGTTTAAAACACTTGATACTATAAAATGGAATTCCAGGTTATCATTAGCCAAAATGATGACTCAAAAACTTTTTTTAAAGGCACAAAACCTTTACTCATTAAAAGGGAAGACAACTTTCCAAACAATTTGTCTCTTGCCTTTCCCTTCTTTTTTTGGTAGTTTATTTGCAAGGCAAACAAAAATCTTTCATTATCCTTTACTATTACATAAAAATCTTGTTCAAGACAGTCAAATTTCATCCTTGCATCAGTCTACTATTAATGTCATCCCCAATTTTTAGTAATACCTTATAGATAAATCTATCCAATCTTAACTAGTTTGAACATGAGGTGAGATTCTTGTAAACCTTTTATAACCCTTTACAAATTCTTGTTAAAGAGCAGACCAGTGCCTTAAGAAAACCTTGTTGTGCTTTTATTTCAAGGTTCAATTTACAGAAAAACCAAATAATATCCCTTTGAATTTAATCAGTATGTTCACACAGAGCATTTATTTTATAAGATTAATTTTTACAAACCATCCACAACTTGTTCAAACCTTTAGGTTTATCTTATCTAATTTCAAACAAACACCCAGCCTTAATTTATTAAAATTATGATTCGTAGACTTTCACCCAATTACATAAAATTAAATTCACTCTTGGTTGAGGAATAGAGAGAGGTAGCAGAGGATTAATCCAAATGATCCTGGGGTCCACTACCCTTCAAAGCCAGACCCTGGTGGGGCAAGTCCTGCCAAGTCATCAGGTGCTGATTAAACACAGAGGACTGGGTGGGAGGCAAATTCCTAAAATGTGGTTCTTTCCCAGAAACATCTTATAATCTAGTTGAGCGCCTCGCAGCTCCAACTCACACCAGAATCACCTGGGAGCTTCTGAAACCATTCCGACCCTGAACTCCACCCTAAATAAATCAAAACTCTTGGTCCACAAACTGAAGAAAACAGTTTAATCTCCATGGGACATTCTAATGGGCAGCCAGAGAGGAGATCCCACTGATCTAGGTTTTTCATACATCACTTAAAAATTTGCAAATTATAAAATATTTCATTAAAGTATGAAAATTTGAATCAGTTTGGGTTTTTTTTTTGGGGGGGGTGGCAAAAGACCTTAAGGAAAAGATAAGATTGTAATTCAATTTCACAAATAATCCACAACTTAGTGTAGTCTTTGATGGAAGCAACACGCCCGTCTTAGTCTGTTCAGGCTGCTATAACAAAATACCACAGTCAGTCGGGTGCGGTGGCTCATGCCTGTAATCCCAGCACTTTGGGAAGCCTAGGCAGGCGGATCACGAGGTCAGGAGATCCAGACCATCCTGGCACACACGGTGAAACCCCGTCTCTACTAAAAACACAAAATTAGCCGGGCGTGGTGGCGGGCGCCTGTAGTCCCAGCTACTCGGGAGGCTGAGGCAGGAGAATGGCGTGATCCCAGGAGGCAGAGCT